ACTAAAACAGTTCTTCTGGGCCATTAGCTCATAAAAATTACCAAAAATATTATAGAAACTTGGCATTTAACATAGAGCCTCACAATTGGACAACTTTTCTTGGACAAAATTCAAGTAAACAGTATAATGGCTAAAGTTGCAAACACATAGGACAAACTCATTTAATAGGTAATATCTGTGCATAAGACTTGAAAAACATACACAGTTACCTTGTGACATTAATAGGAAAAAATCAGTTTTCTGATTTATAACTAAGCAGTGTAATTCTGCTACCATTTACTGAGTGTGTCTATATTCTAGGCACTATTATGTGAAATGCTTTGTATACATTATCTCTTTTTATTTTCACAACAGCCCTGAGAAGCAGGCCCTATTATTTTCTTCATTTTACCAATGAACAAACTAAGGCTCAAAAAAACTTACTGAAGGTCAGTTGGTCAGAAAGTCAAAGAGACACATTTAAAATAATGATTGATCTGACTCCAACCCCTCCATGATTAACTACAATGTAAATGTACCTCTCCTTCACATGCTGGGGTAGAGACAGGAAGAACTAAAATAAACAAATGAACCTTCTGCATTTTCCATTTTAAAAAACGCTATTTATGGCAAACTGAATCTTTGACCAAAGAGTTGGAGAGTTAACCAACTTTTTCATTATATTGCCCACAATCCACAAACGAATAACAATTATGTCACCAACAAAATACTTTTCTGTAATTATGGTACAAGTAAAATGGTCTCTAATGATAAAATACTGAATCATAAATTAGATGAATGTATTCTCCTCCAAACTCTAGCAAAAACCAAAATGCTTTGACCAACAGCCTTAATACAAATTTATACAATGACCTAGTCACAGTAAACAGATCATCCTATATACTGCTACATACAAAAACCTGTACATGAATTTTTATAGCAACTCTATTGGTTATGCCAAAATTCCGAAGAGAACCCAGAGGTCCTTCAGTGTGTGGATGGTTGGACAAACTTTGGTATATCCATGCAAGGGACTACTACTCAGCAATAAAAAGGAATGAACTCCTGATAGATGCAACAATCTGAATGGACCTCAAGGGCCTTATGTTTAGTGAAAAACATCAATCTCAAAAGGTTACATGCTGTATGAGTCCACTGATGTAACATTCTTAAATATGACAAAACTATAGAGATGAAGAATGGTAGGGGTGCAAGGAGAGGAGGGCAAAGAGGCGGGTACCACTACAAAGGGAGTTCTTTTCAGGAAAATCAAACAGTTCTGTATCATGATTATGGTGATAACCATGCATCTGTACATGGGGTAAAGCTGCAGAGAACTATAGACACAAACACACACAAATGCTGGTTAAAAAATGGTGAAAATTGAATAAGGTCTACAGTCTAGTTAATAATAATAGACCAATGTCAGTTTCCTGGTTGTGATATTGTACTATAGCTATATGATGTCACCATTGGGGGGGGCTTACACAGCTGAAGGTGAAAGATACATAGGGCTCTTTGTACTGTCTTTGCAATTTCCTATAATTATTTCAACATAAAAAGTTTAAACAAACAAACAAAAAGTTTAAATAAAAAATGGCCTCAGGTATGAGAACCTGAATTTGAATCTGGGTCTGCGGAACTCTAAAACTTGTGCTACTGCCCTATACACCCTACTGCCTATAAAATCTGTTTTAATAAATATACCAAATATGTATTATTTCTTACGAAGAAAAATAAAAATTACACAGAAGGCTTATCCTAGGTCACATTTAAAGAAACCCAAGCAAGTCGAAAAAGTATTTTATTAGGAAAAACTTTTAACTATCAAATCATTTCATTTATGGCAGGTAAGCCTAGGTGTTCCAATGTACTAATATTAACATACGCATGGAAAGAGAATGTTGGAAGTTTGATAGAAAGTGATGTCTGGGTTGCTTTGGCACCATGACTGGGGGCATTGCCTCTCATTCCCCTCTCACTAGAAGCAGCTCTGGAATCTCCTGCCATGTTGCCTTGTTCACTTGAAAGATTAATAGCTGTTCCTCTTCTTACATACCAGGCAAACAAACTGCACAGCAGAAAGCTGTAAACAGAGTCATTACACTGTCTATTTGGCATCTTTCTTCCATATACACAGGAACTTCCTGATGAGGTTGTCCTTGTGAGATGTGGAACATGTCCAAATTATAATATAATCTCAGTCAGACAGGTGACTAAAGTTGCCAAATGGTTTCTGGGAGTAAGTGAAAGTTGCTGCCTGCCTTCATATTAATTCATCAAACCCTTGTACACTATGTGGCAGCTATGAAAAAATTACACATACAGGCAAGGACAAGAATCAAAATAGTGATGGGATGTTTTCCCATCCTGCTTAGCACCATTTTATTCTGTTGCATTTTCCTGCTTAGCACCATTTTATTCTGTTTCAATAAAAATTATCCCATAAATATTATATTTATTGATCAAATAAATCATTTTTAAAATCAGGGCCACACTGATTCACTATGTCAAGTCCTCAGTGTTGAATGTGCTACTGGTTAGAGGTGCTTTGGAGCATATGGTTCAATTACATATAGTTCAATCTAACACATAAACAGTATCAAGCATTTATTACGAACATAATGGCATGACATTGCTTTGGAAGTTAACACAGAAGATGGAAAAGACACCAGTCTGTAGCCTTAAGGGGGTGATACACAGGTATACAGTTAGCAAAACCCAAGAAAAACCATAATTACTGCTATTATTAAGTGTGCTAAGATGGCCTATTCAGTGTTACGTTAATAACAAGAAAGACAAAACTCAAGAGAGAGGTCCTCAGGCATTTAAGAAGGAAATATGGGTCATTAATTGTATCCCACAGAGCAGAACTAGGATCAAAAGCTAGAAATTACAAGAATATACAGGAAGGCTGTTGATATATACATATACATATACATATACATATACATATACATATACATATACATATGTGTGTATATACAAATATATTTTTAAATTTTTTTGAAATTGTAGCTCATATGTTTATAGAATTTAGGGCATAACAAATCATTAATAATTTAGTAACTATAATGATCTTATAAAACCTCTGTATGGAGAGGAGTTCATGAGATCCCTTCAAAGTGCAGTCTTTTCCAGAGGTCCCACAGGTCAGAGAAAACCAGCTTGATACCCAGGGCTACAAATGAACAGTCCACAGGGACTAGCTACAAGGGAGAGAGACTTAGAGCCTAAGAGGTGATACGAGGACATAATTCTGTCCAAAAGAAATGATTCATATTGGGTAGAGACTAAATGACCAAGACATATCCCCTCTCTTGAAGAGTTTTGTATTTTAGAGAGGTAACAGATGAGAAAGGAATTACAGAGGCATCAGAAGAAGAGAAAGAGAGAAACAGCTCTGAGTATAGCAAAGCAAATACAGTACAAAGCAACGGATAGCCAATTCTACAGGAATAACAAGCTGACTAGGCTTCCCAACTTCCTTTGGGATCGCCAAAACGATGCTATATTAACGTTCCAGGCCTCCATGAAACCCTCCTGTTCACCCACCAAGGCATGTTCCTACTATCCTGTGTGAATTTTTTCATCACCAAAGGGAACCTTGCAACAATGTTGAACTTTACATAAATCCTGTACTTCTAGAAAACAGGGACTGCCAAAAAATTACCCCTCACCCTTCTGTGTTTCAGGAAACAGCTTACAGCAAAGAACTACTCTTACGCATATGACTTAAATAAACCTCGTGGATGACTTCCTATAACCTATGACAAGACCAAGACACAGATCCTCCAAATTCCCATTCTTTCACTCATAAATGATTAACTGAACTGTTTGTCCCCATTGACCATTCTGGCTGGTCAATGGCTATTAACTGTAGTTGACCAAACTTCACTCAGGCTTTTTTCCCTCGTCCAAGTCTGTGGACTTTGACCCACCCCTGAGCAATGCAAAGTGAACAACTCCTCTTGAACCACTTCTCTCAAGAATCAGCTGACTTCAGGGAAGAATATACTCTGATCAACTCTCCAATCTTGCCACCAACTCATCCTAGTACCCTACCCCCATTCTTTTTATCCTGTTTACTCCTTTTTAAAAAAATTTTATAATATTTTTTCAGTGTTCCAAGACTGATGGTTTACTCCTTCCTATGAAAGAAAAGCCCCTTTCTGCTTGGCCTTTGAGATGCTTATAGATCTCATGACAGAAGTGGTTCTTCCTTTTGCAATATTCTTCCTCTGCCTATGAGGATAGTTCTCTTCTCCTTACTGTAATCATCTTTTTGAATAAAGCCTCTCCTTACCTAAGTCCAAATTCGTTTTTATTTGGCATTTTCAACCTGAAAAAAGCATACCTTTGTAAAACACAAAGTCATTAAATATCCTCTTATTATTGACATTTATTTTTATAGACTCACAACTACTACGCATTTCTTGATATACAGCCACAAAATAAAATATATAGGAGATACTACCATAAAAAACAGTTATTTTCCCCAATGTTCAAACATAAAAATTGGTTATTAAAATAATTAAAACATTCCATATCAAACATGAAAAGTAACAATCAAACAACTGTGATTTGGAAATCGCAGAAACAATTACTTTCTATTTTACTTTTTTCTGGTGTTCAATCATCTCTTTACAACCTCTTCAAAAGAAGGAAAACCCTTAATGACTTTGTTTTTATGCTGGACAATTATTAACTCAAGCATGAAACCAACAGTAATAGAGCTTCTAACGTTTTCTCAGCAGAACTTTCTGCAACAATCTACCACTCTTCCAGTGGTCCTGTACCATAGTCTCAATTTAGCATGGATACCATGAGTTAGCAAATTAACTGTAGCACATACATAAACTAGTCCTCAGTGTTTTTAATCCAGAGGGAAGTGCATAAGATATTTCTATACCAGGAAGGACATCTTTTCATAAAATACTTATATTCCTGTTTATGAGAAATATTTTAAAATAATACTCGTATAACAAATACATCACACACAAAAAAAATCAAGTACTCACCCGCGTTGACTATAGCATCTACCTCTAGCAATGTGATGTCACCTCTATAGAGAGAAACTTTTTCATTCAAGCTTTTCTTCACCTGTGATGTTTCCTGAGTATTTTCTTCTGTAATAGAAAAGGAATATATATTAATAGTAATAGTTTTAATTTACTTAATAAAGACAATTTTGATACAAAAGCCAATATGGGTCATAATCTGATATACTAGACAAGTGGAAATAAATGTGTAAGTACCAGAGCTGTGGCTTATTCTCTATTTGTTATGTATTCCTCAATACAAATGCAGTATCACTTATATAATAGGCATTCAATAAATTTAGACATGTTACATTGGTCAACAAAAAATTCAATGTTATTATTATGAAAACACCAAATTCAAAATAAAATTATGTACCACTAGTTTCATAAAATAAATAAAAGATGCACAACCACCACAACAAAATAAATTTTTACAGTGAACAAGCTTATTTCTATTTTGTTCTAGTTAGCTAAAGTCATCCCTGAAAAGAATATTCACTCAGAACAAAAACATGTAGGTTCAGCTCTCTGCTACTTCTAAGTATCAAATGTCCTACTTCTAAGTAAGAAATGTCCCTCAGAATGGGATGGATCAAGAATATTTGAATGGGTGGGGCGCCTGGATGGCTCAGTCAGTTAAGAGGTTGCTTTTAGCTCAAGTCATGATCCCAGGGTCCTGGGATGGAGCCCCACATCAGGCTCCCCGCTCAATGGGGAGCCTGCTTCTCCCTCTCCCTCTGCCTACCACTCCCCCTACTGTACTCTATCTCTCTTTCTCTGTCAAATAAATAAATAAAATCTTAAAAAAATATATTTGAACAGGTGAAGATGCTTTTCTTATCAAACTGTAGCAGCCTTTCACTCTAGAGGGCGCTGCTAGATTTAAAAGCGAAAAAGCTCTGCCCAGCGCACAACAACCAGCAGGCTTGAATATTGAAAACAAGCAAAAACATCACATTCTACAACTCGACAGATTTTCCAATGTTTTATGGCAATACTATAATTTGAGTTTCATTCATTTTTAACGGGTAGTAACATTAAGACATTAGGTAAAGCTGTATAACATCAATGTTTTAAAATACATTACTATACATAAAAAGCTTTTCAATATACCTCTAGGAAAGCTGAGATCTATTTCTAAATTCTCTATTCTGTTCTACTGAATACTTCTTACAAATATATTCCCCCTTTTTTTTCTTATGTAAGTAATTTCTTGTTCTGCTTGATCCTGAGTTAGCAGTTTTTCAAACCAGTCAGCTTCTCCATTAGTGCTGGAAATCCTTATTCAATCCAGTAGTATGGTCTCAAAGTTATTTAAACACTAGTGCTTCACAAGCCTGTAGCCCAGAGGACCTGTCATAGCCCTTTCCATGGTCTCTGAGATGGTTACATTTTGTTGAAGAGGAAACACTTTGCCTGTGACTTCAAGAGCTTTCAAGGAAGAGTCAGAGTAAAATAAAAGTTATCTGTGAATGATAAAAGACTTTTTTACATGATTAAAGATCTGAAGAGTTCATTATTAAAATAATGTAACTGATGAGGGAATTTGGTTATTTCTACAACATATAATGTTTAAATAACTGGAATTGTAACTGATAATATTATACCAGGACTTACCACAGACAAAAGGATACTGGCAAATTTATATAAACTTCATATAATTTCTTAAATATCTATATTTACACAAATATAACCTAGGGAAGCTTAAGCATCACTTCTTTCCTTTTTTTTTTTTTTTTGCTCTAAAATATTTATTTTTTTAAATGAACATATAATGTATTATTTGCTTCAGGGGTACAGGTCTGTGAATCATCATTCTTACACAATTCACAGCACTCACCACAGCACATACCCTCCCCAATATCCATAACCCAGCCACTTATCCCTCCCACCCCACCTCCCAGCAACCCTCAGTTTGTTTCTTAAGATTAGGAGTCTCATAGGGTTTGTCTCCCTCCCTGGTCCCATCTTGTTTATTTTTTTCCCTCCCTATCCCCTACAACTCCCCCACAACCCTGCCTCTCAAATTCCTCATAACAGAGAGGTCATGTGATAACTGTCTTTCTCTGATTGACTTATTTCTAAGCATCACTTCTTACTTAACAATGTCTCCCATGCAATTTAAATATCAAAATATTTGCCCAGGGGCACCTGGGTGGCTCAGAGTTAAGTGGCTGCCTTCAGCTCAGGTCGTGATCCCAGCATACTGGGATCGAGCCCAACATCAGGGTCCCTGCTCCATGGGAAGCTTGCTTCTCCCTCTCCCACTCCCCGGGCTTGTATTCCCTCTCTCACTGCATCTCTCTCTGTCAAATAAATAAATAAAATCCTTTAAAAAATAAAATAATAAAATGTAAAAAAAAAAAAAAAACAAATTATTTAACATTTCTTTTTTAGAAGGTGAAAGAACAAATCCTTTCAGATTTTTCAGGGGTTGTCTGGGAAATGTCAATTTCAGTTTAAAGTTAAGATTGCATTTTGGACTTCATTATGGCAAGGTGTAAAAAATGTCAAAAGATTTGAACCCTTGATTAAATAGGATCGTAGATCATCATGAAAAAATACTTAGATTCTCACAAACAAATATAATAAAGACAACACAAAGCACAGGAAATTATTTTGATAAGACACAGAATCTTTGTTTCCTAGGCAGATTACTTAAAAGGTAAAGAAAATTCCTTACAATCTCTTATTAAGAACAGAGCAATAATCCAAGAAAACGTCATTGTTTTCAGAGAGAAAACCCAACTCTAGTTTTCCATCAGTATATCATTGGGCTCATTAAAAAGAAAAACAACGGGGCTGCCTGGATGGTTCAGTGGGTTAAGCCTCTGCCTTCAGCTCAGGTCATGGTCTCGGGGTCCTGGGATCGAGTCCCACATCGGGCTCTCTGCTAGGCGGGGGACCTGCTTCCTCCTCTCTCTCTCTCTACTTGTGATCTCTCTCTCTCTGTCCAATAAATAAAATCTTTTAAAAAAAAAAAAGAAAGAAAAACAACAACAACAAAAACCCTTAATAAATAGATCCATTCAATCTTAGCCAACTTGATCACAGATAAAATTCCTCTTCTGCAAACCTTTTACTACTCTCTACATCCATTCAGGTGTTTACATTTTTTCCTCTTCCTCATTCTGAAGTAATCAGTGATCTTGATTTAGGGCAAAATGACCCTTTCTTTGCCTTAACAACAACAAAAATCCTCCATTCCAAAGAAATCAGAGAGAGAGATAAACCATGATAGACTCTGGACTAAACCATGATAGACTCTGGACTTTGGGAACCAAACTGAGGGTTACAGAAAGGAGAGGGGGGTGGGGGGATGGAGTAACCTGGCAATGGGTAGTAAAGAAGGCACGTGTGATGATGAGCACTGGGTGTTATACACAATTAATGAATCGCTGAACACTACATCAAAAACTAATGATGTAATATATGCTGGCTAATTGAACATAATAATAAAAAAATTTTTTAATCTTCCATTCTTTGCAGATTTTGCATACAGAGTTATTTCTCTTTACCCTTATTATTTCTAATGGCTTCATTTACATATATTATCATTTTTAACTATATGTACTCTTTATTTTACAGAGATGATTAAGTAAACAATCATAAATTGTAACATATGAGTATTCTGTAGCAGTCTAGCAAATTTTATGAATATACCATCTCTCAATTTCTAGAGATATTGTTATAGTACAAGTTTTACAATATGGCAAAAGGACCTATTTATTCACAAACTCAAATATATTTACTACCACACAAAAGGAAAAAGCCAAAAAAAAAATTATGCTCAATAATTAGCATTTCAGTATTTTACTTAGAAATAATCTAGATTTACTTAATTTAATTTAGCATAAGCTTAAGGTTAAAAGGTACTAAAAAGATTTTGGAAACTATTTTTAGGCAGACATATTACAACATTGAACAAAGTTCGCTATCACCTCACATTATTTCCCTATTATCTATTTTTACAGCACATGAACATTAGGCAAGCAGAACAAAAGCAAAAACCTAAAAAAGTTAAATACATGGATTTTTCTTTTACTGCTATGTGTGATATACATACAGGAAGTCATGGATATCAGGCAATTAATTTTTACTGCATTTTTACTTATACATTTGGTCTTGGGTTGAATTTGTAATTTTTATAATCTTAAATATCTAGTAGATATAACACAACCTTATTTGACTAATAAACCAAGTATAACAAAATGTATGCTTGATTATACTTATCGATGATAACTCAGAAGATACAGATGTTTTATTAAACAATTAAACTAATCTTATTTACCAAAGATTTATCCAAATCATATGAAAGTATTTGAGTTAGTTTCTATGTTTCTGGTAGCTTTAGAAATATTTAATTTTATAAGCTCTAATTTGCCTCTAAACCAATTTGAGTAGACTTCTCCTTTATGGGATTTCATGGATTAATTTGGTAATACCATCCAAAAGTAGAAAAGTTTTATATATATACACACACACACACACACACACACACACACATACATACAAACAAATATCTTACACTTTAATTCTAAAATTTTAACCATAAGTCAGGTAAACACAGAAGTATACTCTGGTCTATGTTCCCCTTGATATTTTTATCCAAATTATGTTTCTGGAAAAAAGAACAAGTTAAGGTAACATGTTCAATATAAGGGCTAATGCTTTTTACCAATATTTGTGAAGGAGACTTTCAAGATTTTTCATTTGCTCTGATATGTAATCTTATAGAGTCTGTGGATTGAAATTTTAGAGAGAAACTGCCTGAGGAGACATCAAGCAGCATGTCTCCAAATCTTACCTGGTATGTAAAACATGCAGTCTGCTTCCAAGTACATTTTCTTCCTTGTTTCAGCTTAAGCAGTTGCTTTTGAGAGTCCTCCCCTTCCCCCCAAGAGAAGCAGGGAGCCTGAAGTTCAAGTGACTTTAGGGAGTTGAGAAGCTTTACTGGAAGGGGAGAAGTTCTGCAGAGGGGACAGAGGGATGTTGAAGTTAGAGATCTGATGTACATACCAAAGAATCCAAGGAAGTAGAAGGGAAGATCAAGGATTTTAAGAGAAGGAAGGAAAATCAGAGGCAAT